TGTAATTTTCATTACAAAGACAATTAATTAAATGACTAATCTTCTTGACTCTCGAAAAGAATTTCACTAGTGGAGTCGCCAAGCTGTCGAAATGATTTTTAAAAGTCTCGTCTCGAATAATTTGATGATCGATTAATAATAAAACGTGATTCAAGAAGTCACCACAAACCTTTAATTAGGGTGTGATTGGGCACCCAAAAAGTATTTGTCATTTTAAAAAAATATCTATTTTAATTAAAACAACAAATTTGTGGTATGCATTACCAAAAAGTTGAGTTCGAGAGTCGGTTACGCTTGGGGAATGATTAGCACCCCCACAGCGCCCTAAATTGGTACCTAGTTGATTAATTAGTTGTCTTTGCAATGAAATTTAAGAATTTGAGTCTAATTTAATTTAAGATCTAATACTCATAATATTCTGTAAATTTTAGGATTAAATTTTAGGATGAAACACAATAATATTTAATTATTTCCTATCGAGAAGAATCGACCTCTCATGCCTTAAAGCAATTGATTTTTACTCCAATTGAAATAAGGAAATATTATAATTACATCCTAAAGTTCATTATTAATTCAAAATAACAACACAAAATAATTTTAAGAAAAAAAAAGAAATAGTGATATCTCTTCATTTCGATCAGAGTAATAAATGATTGCTTTAAGACATGAGAGGTCATTTATTCTCGATTGAAAATAATTAGATATTATCGTTTTCTTTCTTAAAATTATTTTGTGTTGTTATTTTGAATTAATAATGAACTTTAGGATGTAATTATAATATTTCCTTATTTTGATTGAAGTAAGAATCGACTACTTTATTAAAGCATGAGAGGTTGATTCTTCTCGATAGAAAATAATTAAATATTATTATGTTTTGCCCTAAAATTCACAGAATATTATGAGTATGAGATCTTAAATTAAATTAGACTCGAATTCTTAAATTTCATTGTAAAGATAACTAATTAATCGACTAGGTACCGATTTAGGGCGTTGTGGGGGTGCTATTCCTTCCCCACGTGTAAAAATTAGCTGACCCTATTCCCATATATAATGGGGTAAGGAAGAGGTAGGGTAGTAGGCTGCCCCCAACGCTAGGTTGAGAGCAACTTCCGTGGAAGACCTCCAACAATTTATGAATTGCCCACCGTGGGACTCGATCCCAGGACCACAAGATTAAGAGCCTTGCGCTCTACCAAACTCAACTTTTTGGTAATGCAGACCGCAAATTTGTTGTTTTAGTTAAAATAAATTTTTTTTTTTGAAATGAAAAATACTTTTTTGGTGCACACCCTAATCAAAGGTTGGTGGCGACTCTTCAAATCACGTTTTATTATTAACCGATCATCAAATTATTCGAGACGAGACTTTTAAAAATCGTTTCGACACTCTACAAAAAGAATAAGCGCTAAAATGATTATTTAATCAAATGCTAGGGTTTTTTACCCTAAAATGAAACGTAATGAACTAAAATACTTCAAAAAAAAAAGAATAAGGGATAAAATGATTATTTAACCAAACGTTAGAGATATTTTTACTTTAAAGTGAAATGTTATGAATTAAAATACTCTAAAAAATAAAAAAAATGATAATTTAATCAAATGTTAAAGATGTTTTATAAAATTTACCTTGCGATTCAAGATTTAAGTTTATACGGTTTAAAATTGAAAGATTAAAAGTATTTAGTATTGTTGTCGGCCAATTTTAGTTTTGAATGATGCAATACTAAACGATGTTAAACGGCCTTTTATTAATGTTGTTTTTATTAAAGACATGTATTAAAGGCTAAGGTGCAATGCATACGGGGCATTAATGAGTAAGGATGCTAGAGACAGAGACGGAGGATCATACAGGGCATTAATGAGTAAGGATGCTAGAGACAGAGACGGAGGAGGATCATACAGGGCAATCATCGGAGAGTTAATGACGACATTCAAGACCTTGAAAAAGCCAAAGTGGGTATTGCTTCCGGTTACATTCCTCAACTGGATCACTTGAATCGCGTTCTTGTTGTACGACACCGACTGGATAGAAGTGGAAGTACACGGAGAGGATGTAAAGGGAAGTGCGAATGAACAAAAACTCTATGATCAAGGAATGTGTGCGAGTGCGTTGGGGCCGGTGACAACTGACAAACTCGATTCTATTGGCGTTTGCGTTGTTGGGGTTGGAGCCTGTAAGCCAGTTGGTTGGTGGGGTTAAGAATCCCTCAACTCAATCCTTTTATACGTGTGACATGTAATATGTTATAGGACTCTAAAATTTAAGACATATATGAATGTTATTCAGGTTCATCCATGTATACTTTTTATGTTTTAATAGTATTTTCGTTCGAAGGAAAAACAAAGTTTTTATTTAGTTCTCGAGAAAATGACAGAAAAACAAATTACGATTTTTACAATATCTTTAATTTTTTTAATGATAAATTTTGATAAAAAGATCTCATTGATCACTTATAATTTTAAATTTTTAATAAATTAATTTTTGTTATAAAATACATTTGAAGCCTCAATTTAAAAAGTAACATAAAGTCTGCCCACATTTTGGGACGAGGCTGGAATCTATGAGGTCAACTTCATTTTGGCCGCTTGCTTGGTCGAAATGGTGGGGGTTACTAAGGTGGTCGAGGCTTGGAGGGTTAAACGTGGACCGTAAATTTTGATTTCTTAATCTTTTAGTCATTTTAATTTGTATTCTTATCTTTCATATAAATTAAATTTATATGTTATTTGTTATTTATATTATAATATTATTTATTATTATAAATTAAACTTATGTATCAAGTAAAAAAATATATGATACAAATGAATTTTTATATACTATAACTTTGAAAAATAAATCGAATCGAATTGGGCGATCGAAAAGGGATAAAAACTCAAGTTTAGTGATGATTTTGAAGAAAAAAAACAAATTGATGACCAAAATAATACAATAAAAATAGTTGAGTGACTAAAAACATTGAGCCCTCAAATCCTTGTAGACAAACCCTAACTAAAATATAGCAAAAGCAAACTGATAAAGCTACCATTGTACCATTCAATCTTCAAGTTCCTTGCGTTGTGTCTACTCTTTCACTTTCAAAGCTGATGAATAAATAAATCACTTAGCTTACCCTACTTTTATCTTCCTTTCATTTCACGAATTTCCCAAATCTCCAAATTCCATGTGACCCCCACATGTTTAACTCTGATTTGTAGCATCCAATATGAGGCATGAACTAATGCTTACCCATGTCAGATAAATATGATTTTAACGTAACTGAATATATATCTGATAATAAAATATTATTACCATATTTCCTTATTGTTACATGTTAGGTTTAATATATATATATATATATATATATATAGGTATATAAGGCATTTTTACATTTTGAGAAAAAAAAATTAATATGACACTCATATTATTTTTATATCTAATGTGATTTTCCAACTCAAAAAATAAACTTAATATGACTTTTTGACCAATGTTTTTTTGTCATTGACCGTGTGCTTATGTGGTAATTTACAGTGCAAACGTAATAATACACAATGACTGATGATTTTTTTTTATCTTGTTCGAGGTCTAAATTGATTTTTTAAAAAGTTTAGAGACTTATTTAATTTTTAGAAAAATGAAAATTATTTTAAATTTTAAATTTTAAAATATAAAATATTCAAAAAATAAATATAAAAACACTAAAACTAAAAATTAAATTATTGAAAAAAATTAAATATATATTAAAAATACTATCAATTTTTTTAAATCAAATATATATCATAAATTATTAAAATATAAATTATTAAAAAATTAACGATATTTTTAAAAACATATATTATACATAATATATACATGTAACATATAGTCATATCATCAACACTTAGACGAAGTACTCTGAATGGATTAGTCAAGGTTTACAAATTTTGTATCTAAATATAACTAGGAAACATCGTAATTAAGTCGTATCAATACACACAAATTTAATCATATTTCAAACAATTTTTAAGTGCCTCTTTATATACTAGCTTATTGTACGATGTGCAAGGTTTACGAATAGTCTTTAGAATTGTTCAAAGTATGATTAGATGTGGGCGTACTCTGAATGGATTAGTCAAGGTTTACAAATTTTGTATCTAAATATAACTAGGAAACATCGTAATTAAGTCGTATCAATACACACAAATTTAATCATATTTCAAACAATTTTTAAGTGCCTCTTTATATACTAGCTTATTGTACGATGTGCAAGGTTTACGAATAGTCTTTAGAATTGTTCAAAGTATGATTAGATGTGGGTATTGATACAAAAAACTTATTATGTTTCCTAGCTATATAGATACAAAATTTTTAAGTCTCGACTAATCCAGTAAGAATAATTTGTATAAGTATTGATGATATGTCTATATGTTACATGTATATATTATGTATAATATATCTTTTTAAAAACAGTTAATTTTTTTAATAACTTATTTTTAGTATTTTTTTTATATTTAATTTTTAAACATTTAAATATTTGTATACTTTAAATTTAAAATAATTTTTATTTTTAAAAAATAAATAAATAAGCTCCTTAACTTTAAAAAAATCAATTTTGCCCTTGAACAATACCAAAAAATTAATTTGGCCCATCTATCATGTAATCAGCCACGGTAGGTTACCACACAAGCTACGTGAACCATCAAGTCAGCACAATGAATTGTCATGTCAGTACCATAACGGTCAATGACGGAAAACGTTGGTTAAAGGGTCGCATTGAGTTTATTTTCTGAGTTGAAGGGTCACATTGGGTATTAAAATAATTCGAGGGTCACAATAGTATTTTTTAAAAGCACAAGGACCTAATATATATTTTTACCAAAAAAACTATATCACTACATTTGTATAATATCATAATAGTATAACGTGTCTGTAATATCTACAAAAGATACTCATTTGGTGCACTGGTGTGCACATTTTATGTGTATAAATAGAACATAGTATATAGTTTAGTAATTTGAGAAGATGTTTTTGGCATATAATAAGAGTTAATGTGGTGGGAAAAAAAGTGTAGAGGAATCTCTATGGAGCTGGCCTTCCAAAATCCTGAGTTTTCTCATCTTTTCTTCGCACCAATGCAATTGTTGTTCGGTTAGATCAGCCATTCTCAAAACCCTAGACACCACTTTTAGGTCAATTAGACCCATCAATATATCCATCTCTTTCTTCATTTTCACTTTCCTTCTCCTTATGCATTTCTTTGCCCTTCGAAGGTCTTTAAGTTTCATTCTTTTCTGCAACCATACCCATATGAATTTAGCTTTATCCGTTAGATGGTCGATTGAACTTTTAAAATCGATTTTGTCTCTCGTATTCTATCAAGAGCTGTGGACGGTTCATAGAGTCGGGAGCACCTTGAATGGCGCACCATGCACAAACGTCAACATTTACTCCCGGCTCTGTGAACAATCTACGACTCTCGGTGGAGTACAAGAGGCAAAACCTCGCCATGGAAATAATATCGATTTTTGAGTTCAGTCAACTCCTTTAACAACACACATAGAAAATATGGTATTTTATATGTAAAAATTATAAAACTAAATTAGATGGATTGTGTAAATTGAGTTGTGGGGATATAATTTGAGAACTTACTTTAGCATTCATTTTTTTCATGAGTTGAAGGAGTGTAGGGTCAACTGAACCTCTTCTCTTCTTTCCAAAGAAATTTTTAATGATTTGGCATGGTTTCTCCTTGTCTGCCTTGAGAAAGTTCATGAAGGTTTGAATTCCATCCTCCATTATTATCCCAAATGTATCTGCTGAGATTCTTGACCCAAACCCTTCATCCCTTTCACCTTCCTCATAATCTGACATCAAAATATCATAAATGTTAATAAGTGTCACACGTTTATGATATACAATAGATATAATAATTTACTATTTACCTCTATATTCAGGAACCAGGAGCAACTTTGGGGCCAAAAGCCTCATCCTGGCATACACCTCGGGTCTCCGCCCTTGCTCGTAAGGCTCATTTTCGATGTATCTTTGTAAAAGGACCTGGAATTGCTGAAACTGCTGGGCCACCACGGCGGGGCAGTCAAAATCTTTCCGATCGGCTCGTTTACATTCGAAGTTCATGTAATTCCAGTTGAGTGCTTCCCAAGTTAAGCAAATTTGAGCAACATATGCAGATTCCAGTTCATGGTAAGGGTTTTGTCTGATATCTGATGGCTTTTGGTTCATTGTGCCAAACCTGTGGACTATTCTCTCGGAAATTGATCTTGGACAATCTTGAATGGATCTCAGTGACTCTGGAAAACAGTTTCAAACTCATCAGACAAGTATGCAATGGTCATATATATATACATATATAATATTACCTGCTTCTTGGAGCTTTTGTGCACTGATTCTGTCTATGAGCATCATCTCTTCATCATATTTTTGAAACACAGTGTAGGATTCCCATTTGGGACAACTTCTTGAGGAAGATGAAAATGGATCATCAGTGACTGAATCTATGCAATTTATTGAGCTTTTCCACTCGGAGGAGCTCTTTGAAGTTGAGCCAATTGTGTAAGAGTCTCCATAAATTTGTTTATCATCTTGATCCTCAGCTAGTAGCTTCTTAGACTCCATTTTTGGTCCTATAACAAAAGACTTACCAGTATGTAATTGTGATAACAATAAGAATCAAGGTTACATGCATGCACATACATACCAACATCATTTTCCACATCACTTTTGTCCATTGGTGAGACTATAGGTGTGGGGCAATCTTGGTTTTCATAATCATGCAAGTCAATATCACCATCATCAGCAGAATCTGAACAAGGTGATGACTGTTCAGTGGAACAAGTTGCATAATATTCTTGATCTTCATTCGTGATGAGCTGATCATCATCGCCGTCATGGGGCTTCATGGATCCCTCGACGAGGATGACATCATTTTGAGTCTTTCGAAAACTGTTGTCTTGCAGGAAAACAAGTGATTCGCCCCCATGGATTATGTTAGCCACCAGGTGGTCATTTTTCATGCACTTCGTCTTATAATTATACCTTTCAACACCATACTCTTCTTCTTCTTCTTCTTCCTCCTCGTCTTCTTCCTCCTCATCTTCTTCCTCGGAGTACATACTGAAATCGTATTCATTTCGAGTCCTGCAGAGAACAGACAAACAAAATGAATTCAAACAACACAAACAGCAGTGAATTTCTTCCATCAACAATGGAGAATTACAAAGACCTTGTGATAAGTGGGTAACTTCCAACGAAGTAGAAGAGCTTGGGAAGCAAAATTGATGATGAGTATAGGAAGAGAAGGAGAAGCAAAGATGAGGTTGAGAGATAGTAAAACAAAACAACTAAAGCTTCCTTTTGCATTATTTCTTTTGTTCTTTGAAATGAGCTCAAAAGCAAAGTGAAGTGAAAAAAGAAGAGAAAATGACGTGTTGGTTTCATATACTTGGTTTAAAGTAGTCTTCCATTTCTCCTTCCTTTAAAGTGACTAACTTCTCCTATAATATCTGCTTTGAACTACGGGAGCAGGCAAGGCTTTCGTCCTCTAGAATTTTATAAGTGATCATTCTCTTATAATTTAAAAATTTATTATCTTAACATAGAATTTTACATCCGTTCCTCTGAAAATATCTCAATCATTTTCTAAACATAAATTGCAATTGAGATTGTTTAAGGTTAACGAGGGGGAGAGTCGAGATATTCTTTGCCTCTCCTCCAAATTATGGAAAAGCGTTTAAGAATTAAAAGTTCAAGTGTTCTTAACTTGGTTCCCAAGGTTCTTTTGTCTCCTTGGGATTTTTGTCCCACACTTTTTTTATTTATTTAATATAAATAATATAACTTGTTCATCAAGTGATTGGCTAATTATTGAAAAATAATAATCTACAAAGCCCCACTTCAGAATCAATGGAACCTTAGACCCCAATTGTTTAAATATTCCTTCCGAGTTGCATTTTCAATTTTAAAATTTAGGGTAAACTATCTATTTAGCCACACACTTATTATTTAATTTATATATTTAATTTATATTGTGAACACTATTATTATTATTTTAAATTATAACTAGTATTACATTTCGTTCAACACATGGATGAGCATCAAGTAATCGTTAAGCTTCGACGAGGTAGAATTTGATAACATAATAGAGACATATGTAACTAAAGCATGATCGGCGCCATTGGATTCACGGCGCACTTGTCGAACAACAACACATGGATGAGCATCAAGCAATAGTCGAGCTTCGGCGAGGTAGAATTTGAGAACATAATGATCCGCGTGATGAGTTCTAACTCGCAATAATCCCAGCAGCTGGGGAACCAAGTAACACGCCCCATCAACATTAATTTCAATAGTGTTGTGGGGTGGTTTTGACCTCCGACATCCCTACAATAGAGAGGTTGAACCAGCCGTCGTTGATGATAAAGAAACATAATAGTAAGATAGGCGATCCAAAAATTTTCTCTTTTTTTTATCATATTTCTATGATAAAAACATATAATCAAACATATTTTTTATTTTTATTATTGATTATCAAATATATCTTTTATTTTTTAAATAAAAAATAAATTTATTTTCTAGAAAAATAAAAAAAATATTTTAAAAATCAAACATAATTTATTATTAGATGCACAAAGAGTAGAAATTAAAATTACAAAAAAATAATATATGATCCAACATTAAAGTTAAAATTTGCAAGACAAATTTGAAATTTGATCTAAAATTTATATGAAAAATTATTTTTTTATAAAAGGAATAATAAATAAAAAAGATAAAGTAGGAAAATGCTAATAGATTAAGAGAAAAGCCACTCTTCGATATAATGCTAAAATTGTCTCTAACGTTTATCAAAATGGTTATTTTGGTCTTTATTTTTTAGAATATTTTGACATCAGTGTTTCATTTTAGAGCAAACAAAATCATAATATTTGACAGAATAGTCACTTTAAACCTTATTCTATTTTCCTTGAGCATTTTAACCTCCAACGTTTCATTTTAGGGTAAAAAGACCATTATTTTGGAGTGTCAATCGTTTGTTAACTAGCAGTTTCTATCTACGGATAAGTCATTTTACCCAAAAATAAAATATTCGGGGCTAAAATGTTTCAAAAAAAATATGAGTCAAAATAATCATTTTAATAAAAGTTTGCAGAATAATTTTGATATTATACCATAAAATAATATAACCCACCAACCATTAGTTAATCTAGTTAGATGATATATTAATTTTTTTTAAAATATCATTCTTAATATTATGAATGAAGTAAATTAAATTAGAAAATTCATTTTATAACGAACATGTCATGATTTTTTTTATAAAGAACATGTAATGAATTGAATATTAATAATCATAAAAAAAACAGTTGTGAGTCAAATCCTTTTTTAACCTCTATTTTTTACAAACCCAAACCAAAAGGGTAGGCTACGCCAAATTGGCCCATTAGGGCAATCGGGTAATTTAATTGGCCCATTAGGGCAATCGGGTAATTTAATTAGCCTATTAGGGTATCCAAACAATTAATTTGGGATCTACGTCAATTTGAACAGTTCTCATGGAACTCGTCACGCCGGTGTGACGAGTTCCATAAGATATAATTTTTTAATGGGCAGTGTCAGGTAGGCCCCAAACCCGGATTTAAAAAATATTTCTTCAGTTTTTTTGTAATTTTTTAAAAGAAAAATAAAAATAATAATATTTTATCCTCATGGACGTGACGAGTTCCAACGGGAATTTTTTTTTTCAAATTTTACAGTTGTTAAACGGATTTTTTTTAATTTTCAATAGAACTCGTCACGCCGGTGTGACGAGTTCCAACGGGAAAAAATATGTCTTCCCTTTAAGTTGTACACATCATCTTTAATCTCTTACTTTAAACACTCCTTTCATCTTCAATCTCCTACGCAAAAAAACTCCTTTCATATAACCAAAAACATTTCAAACAATGAGCAACAAATTCTTCACAGTTGTCCATTATAATGGCGAAATTCTACAAACTGATGTTGGTGTTGTGTTTAAGTCAGACAGGCCGATCAATATGTTGTTCCCTGTAGATGTATCACATCGCCAAATGAAGTAAAAAAATGAGAGAAAAGTTAGAGCTTATGTTTCATGTTTAAGTTATCGGCACCTGATCTCCTTAAATCCAATGACTTATGGAAAAGTTCAGCTTGATGATGATGACGATGTTGCTGTTATGGTTGGACTTCATCAATCATCAGATAATAATATGGTGGAGATGTACGTCGAAACGATGAATGCAATTGATATTCCAACGTCATCAGTACTAGCTCGAAGAATAGAAGAAGCATGACCCTCTCAACCACTGGAAGTTATGATGATGAGAACCTTGTTGGACGGTTCGGTGAAAGCCTTGCTGAATTTAGTGAGGATGATGAAGACATTGTCCCATTGGTAGACGATGATGACACGACATTAGTTGATGAGTCCGATATTGTTGAGGTTGCTTTAGAGAGACAAGGTTTGGATGTTGAGGCCGATTTATAGGAGGCAGTTGTTTCACGATGTAGAAGATTACAGAATGCTCCAAATGTTTGGGTAAGGACATACCCTGAACCTGAATTCAATCATCAGGTTTTGCCTCGGTATCATCATGCAGTTGCAATGCATGATATTAATTGCGATGCTATACGGAAACCTGAAATATTTGATATGCCAGAGTTATGTGCTGCCCACTGGGGTTCTTCAGACGAGCGGTTATCTGAGTTGGCTATTGGGTCTTAGTTTGAAAAAAAGAGGCACAACTAGCAGTCAAGGAGTACTGTATCAAAGCTCATCTTCAATTCTATGTCACGGAGTCGGATAAAAAACTTATTTCGTAAGGTGTATACACTATGATGTTGGTTCTAAATGGAGGATACAAGTATCATACCTACAACGGAAGATGTTGTGGGAAGTCACAAGGCTCAATGTAGAGCATGCATGTACAATGACCTCCTTGACACAAGACCACAGACATTTAGATTCGGATGTCATATACTCTTATTTGAAGTTGTTGTGGAAAAAATCCAAGTGCGCCCATTTTTGTGTTAGTGGCATCCATTTGGAATACATTTGGTTATATTCTGACATATTACAAGGCATGGATGGATGAACGGAAACCAATGACCTTGTTGTATGGTGATTGCGATCAGTCATATAATGAGCTACTACGTCTGCTGCAAGCAATGAAATTTTTCATCCCTGGAACCATTGTTAGGTACTATACTCATCCTACAATCACGCTTGAGGGAGACGTTATCCTCGGGAAGAGAATTTTTGATGGCTTGTTTGGGTGTTTAAGCCAACTATCGAAGGGTTTAGATTTTGCAAACAAATTATTCAAGTCGATGACACTTTTCTGTATGGGCTCTATAAACACATCTTAATGATAGTCGTTGCGCAAGATGGAGATAGAAATATTTTCCCCATTGCTTTCGCCATTGTTAAGAATGAATCGGAGGAAAATTAGAATTTCTTTCTCTCCAACTTGCGTTCCATGTTGTCACTCAAGAAGGAGTTTGCATGATCTCATATCGGTCACTTGGGTTGTTAAGCACTATTGGTATACCCAAAAATAGATGTACGCCACCTTACACATATTCTGCATATTGTATACATCATATCGCGTCGAATGCAATGACGAGGTTTAAGCAGAAAAAGATCAAAATGAGATTATCAACATGGGCAAATACCTTAGCATTTATCATTAATTATTTCTACTTCATTAATTTTTTTAGTAACATTTAAGTTACTGTTTTTTAGGGTATGCTTTATTCCAACCAAACTTTTGTGCATAGCTTGAAAATTTGAGAAGATACAGAGATGATATGTATGAGTTCGCAGCTGAAATACCAAGGGAGATATGGTCACAAGCATATGATGTTGAGGGTCGACGTTACGACCATATGAATACCAACCTTGTTGAATGTATCAACTCGGTGCTAAAAGGGACTCGACATCTCCCGATAGCAAGTATTGTTAGGGAGACTTACTTTAGGTTGGGTAAAGTATGGGCATACA